GGGGTTCTGATGTGCAGAGTTGCGTATGGAGGACATTGACTTGATCCGGCAGGCGTGTGCGGTGTGGTAGAAGATACTGCAACGGCTCACCCAGAGGCTGTAATCGCGAAACACTTGACGCACATTTTATAGGAATACGCAATGAAACATTATGAACGGCATGTGGTTCCCGGCAATGGCCCAGTCGAAATCAGAGACTGCGCATCGGTTGGTAGGCCGAATTGAGGAAACCAAGGGCCGTATTGTGTTTTGCAAATGTGGCAGGCAGGCATATCCGAGATCAGATCACTGACCATAGTGCCCAATCAACCAAACTGAGGCGTAAGCTGTTAGGAAAAGAGGTGTATCTAACCTTGTCGGCAGAAGGCGATGGACACTTGCTAGCTAGCTGAGAGTCGGTAGAAAACAATGAAGTTATGGACCTTCGGCAATGTGGGTCTTGAGCAGCACAAGTGGCGAGTGTGACTCGGTAAAAAGGCGAGAGTGGAAGACAAACCGAGCAACAAGTCGGGCAAAGCCGCTCGTTATCGATGGTGGGCAGTGTCGGACATTATGCGCGAGACGAGTGCTGTCCGCGGCAAAAGGCGACTGCCCCGACAAGTGTGCGGAAGGCTCGGACATTATGCGAGAAGATGGTGTCACACGAAGCTGCCAGCGGACCAAGTGCGTGGAGCATCGCCAGGGCCGCAGTGGGAGAAGGCCAGAGTTCAAGTGGAAATCGCGTGGGTGCAAAAACTAAGACTAGTGGAACCCGACTCAAATGATGAGGTACTCAGACGGCGGTGATGGGATGTACTCGATACAACGGCAAAGACCCCGGGTGAGGTTTCACCATCGAAAATTGAAAATCTGTGTCAAGAGAGTTGCAGGTTGATACACGGGGCCAGCGTATCAGTAAGCGCCGCCGCCATGTATTCGTGACAGGAGTATGCGTCAAATCTCCGTACAAAAAGTGCAATGTGAAGTTGACGCCTATGGGTCGGGGGCCGGGCATTGGAAAGTGTTGGGGTCAAATGATGGTGAAAGTTGAGCTACCAAAAGCCAGGGATGATATCACTGCCCCTGGGTTGGCTTTGGTAGACTCAGAGGGAACCCTTGTTTTTGGGTACGAACACTGGCTAGCTCACATCAAGGCTTAGAATTCGGGCTCAACGATCTTTTATGTTCAGGTACATGTGAGTCAAAATGCTGGAAGAAGTGAGTGAAGCACGATGCGCCAAGTTGTGTTTGAGAGTGAGTTGGGAACAGTAAAAGGGCTCAAGCTGACATCAAACTGAGGGAACGGAGCGCAACCGCATATTCCATCGGTGCAAGGCGGTGCCGTATTGGCCCTAGGGATAAAGGAGCCGAGTTAGAGTCGCCTTAGAGGCCAGGAGGGGTGGATCCAAAAAGGTGAAATCAGTGAGATGCGGGCATCACCCATAGTGTTGCCGTTTCCAAGAAGGATGGAGCCGATTCGATTTGCCGGGGATCTTTAAGGTGTTCGCGTAAAACAGTACATCATAGACATTCCCTATCCATTACCTGATATGGTCAAGACATGTTCGCGACCATTGGGGCGAAGGTACAGTGTTTAGTAAAAATAGACCTGTGAATGCGTACAGCAGATGACTCTGACCGAAGAGCTCACAGCAATATTTGACATTAACAACGCATAGGGGCTGTACGGCCTTACTGCCCGACTTACGTATTGCGTATCGCCGTCGCGCACCTAGCGATATTTCCAGCATATGATGCGACCAAGTTTTGAGTGGCAGATGAGTGAAGTCAATGTCGGATAGATGACATTCTGATTTGCACAAGACTCGGCCCGAGCGACATGCTCAGTGTGGTGATGAGGTACTAACGAGCGACTGGAACGACGATGGCAATCAGGGCTAAAGCATCGATAGTGTGACGTTGGCGGCTCCGAGCGGTAGAATCACGTTAGCCGCTGTACCGCCGGTTTGATGCAGAAGGAGGCACCTCTGCAGCGAGAAGGTAGACGGCCATTGTTGAAGTGCGCCTGAGCCCAACCAACGGTTGCAAGAACTCCGTTCGTATTGGGCTACTGAATTTTTATGGGAATTTTATCCTGGAAACTATCAACGAGTGCTCACCATTGCATGCATCTTGATGCAGACAGCAGGGCCAAGTGCGGATTGGGACGGAAGGGTGCAAGAGGCGGTTTGAGGTTGAGTAAGTCCCAAGTTCTTAGAAAGCGGCAGTGCTGGTTTCCGTACGACGAGAAACGGACTGACTGATTTTTAGGTGTGATGCCTCCGCTCTAGCGGGTGGGCGGCTGTGATATCAGCATGTCATGGACCGATGGCCAGTGAGCGGCGATCGCCGTTCGACATCAGCGGGTCACTTACTGCGAGTGAGAAAAAACTATTTCTCAAATTGGACGAAAGCGAGGCGTTTAGGCATTGTGCTTTGGCGGTCGGAAAATCTTCCGTGAAATACTTGTATGGGAGGAGAATTCTCCACCTGTTTGACAGACCACATGGCACTGTGCGACAATTCTGGGACCAAAAACTGGGAATTCCACACTAGCTGCCGCGCGGATGCAAAGATGCTGGCAATTCATATTGCAATGCCTACAAAATATACGGTAGATTACCGTGCGGTCAGTTGGAGCCATGCCAACGCGGACGCCGCATTGAGTAGTTACTCAAGCGGCCGAGATCGGTGAGATGGGCAACGAGCAAGAAGTACATTTCGTTCTTCAAACCTCGAGACGAAATGCGCCACCCACGCTAGAGAGCATACGAAAAACGCACGCAGCGAGACCGCAGTCTTAGCTCGAGTGTGCTGTTTACGATGCAAAGTGGGTGGCCGAAATCAGTCTTCCACGAGACGGGCGTGTGGAGGAGTCAGTAGGCGGATCCGAGCCTTTCTTCCGGAGGAGAAATGAGCTCAGTACATGCGAGTGCATGTTGTATTCTGCGTGGTCGGTATGAGGGTCAGTTATACCCCAAGCTGTTGAAACAATCAGATTAGCAAGATCTCGCATGATGGCCATCAGGTATGCGTTTCAATGAAAGCCTTGGCCAGAAGCTAGGGGTGGTGTGGCCCCAATATGGACAAGAGCTGAGCTGGAAAGCGTTGCGTACTAGCGATGTGAGTATGCCAAGTAGTGCGACCAGGAACAGCCCCCCACGGCCTTCCACTTGGCATCCGTGGCCATGCGCGATCGTGTGTGGCCAAGAGCGGTACACATGATTTTGCCAGAGAAGGGAGGGTTTCCTACGCTCTGTGTGTTAGGTTGACGCGAACTCAAAAGCTGGTATGAAGTTAGAGTGCAGATGCGGTCCACGACAAACACCGAACGTACATTGAGAAGTGTTGGCGCCAAGCTTGGTTCGCCACTGGTTTGCGGCTACGGGGGGCGGGGGAAACCGTTGAGATAACATAACAAAGAGAAAAAAAGTTACGTGTCCGACAACGGGCCACAACTGTCATGTTTGCCGCAGAGTTCAAACAATTCCTCAGCCCAGAAATATGGCATCAGACACAAGCTCATGCCCATGCTACCCACCACCGCCAGAACGGCGGGCCAGAGCCGCGCCGTACAAAACGGTATAGAAGAAGGCACTGAGTAAAGAAGATGGAAAGGGTCCAGTAGAGAGGGCCGGAAAACGGGACAGACTCTATGGTTCTTGGAAGGCTTTATCAGGCGGTACAACGCAAGATCCACACCACACTCTGCGTGACAGTAAAACAAAATGCACCAGCGCCGAGCTATCATCTGAAGCTGTGAAAATGCGTGACAACATTCACAAGTCTATAATTTTATTATGCACACCTGATAATACGATATCCCATCAGCAGATACGCACATTAACACCCTGTCCATTAAGTGATGCTACTATACGCCACCGGATGCGATCACAATATTCTACCCGTTTGCGATGATTAATGACACGCATGGGATTTTACCGGGTACCTGTAAAAGCCGGAGTGGTTGGTCTGCTGCCGCCGGCAGGCGCGGCGGCACCGCAGTGGCTGGAGAAGAAGACCCGGACCTGCCTGGAGAGGACGTCCCGGTGCACGTCGCAGCGTCGCGCGAGGATGCTGTGTACTAGGTACGGCAGCACCAGCTCGCAAAACTCAACCTGCCGACGATGCGCGAGCGCAAGCGATTAATGGCCCCGCGACCAATTAACGCTAACGAGCGTGTCGGATTAATCGTCGCGAAACCTGCAGTTGGGTCGCATACTGAGATTTGCGTGACTTGGTCGCTGATTTCCAATGTAGTTACACAAAGACTGCATTTATTGATGAACTTTGCACGGTGAGAAACGGAGAGAATGTAAACAATAGGCGTGTTGTTGCTTCCAAACTGCATAATTTGTCTTTGTACTTAGTATCAGTAAGGCGATTTTGATCAAACTTCTGTACAGAAGTATATAATAATCAATCAAACCATAAGGTAATCAACATTTCCACACGTTCAATCAATATAAAAAATCGTCAACAGAAAAGATATGACTCTAGACCATTCTGTATGTGTGTGGAAGAAAATTAATTAGGAATGAGTTTATATGTTTAATAAACAAACCGAACCTTCGCCTTGCAGATAGGCTCCAACAGAAGCAACATTTCATCGGTGACTGCAGTGCTTTTGATGAGGTAGCAGACCAAGTTTGTGATCCAGTCTGCATGCGTGCTGTTGGTGGGTGCCCACACTTCCTGTATGTCCATGGTGGCTAGGAAGGTAGCCTCATGCGGCACTATTATCCGCGCGCTCGCAACCTAGTGCAGTATTAAAACTGTTATGTAAAAAATATAAATAGTATAACTACACATGGGCACACACACACACGTGTGTGTGTATGTGTGTGTGCGTGTGTGTGTGTGTGTGATATCTCATACAAAATTTCTTAGCCACCACAAACAGTTTGTGGACGAAAAAATTTCTTAGCCACCACAAACAGTTTGTGGACGAAAAAATTTCTTTGCCACCACAAACAGTTTGTGGACGAAAAAATTTCTTAGCCACCACAAATAGTTTGGGAACCAAAAAATTAGTTAGCCACCACAAACAGTTTCCAAAAAAGAAGTGCAGGTGCGAGGCAGGGGGTAACACCTGTCCTCATACATACCCCTTATCTCTTCTCCACCTATCTATGTATCCATCTATCTATCTGGTCTGTCTGTCTGTTTGTCTGTCTGTCTGTCTATCAATAAATAAATAAATTATCGCTCAGAAAGAAGCATGTCATGAAAGAAGCAGGGCAGTAATATAGGTGTACTACTTAACACTTACCCTCGTTCTTTTCCTAAAAGGATGAAGGTTCTGGAAGAGATGGTCATTGGTGGCATCTTTATAAAGGGCAGCAAAGTCTTGCCCTGACTTGGTAGCTAGGAGATGTTTAAGCACAGAGCTGGCAGCAGTCACCACTTCCACACTGCAAACACATTTAATATATGAGAGTATAGATGCTGCACGCACACACTCACTCGATCACTCTCTACCTCCTTGGCTATGTTACTCAATCAATCACTAACCAACACACACACACACACTCACATACCCTATCACTGACTTTCAAATCAAAATTCAATCAAAATATATTGTAGAGCATATTTCAAATCGTAAATAACACCTGAACCGTTCATGTTAGATGGCAGCATCACAAACGGTACGTGCGCAGGCCAATCGATAAATAATAGTTTAAAAAAAAAACGCAGGCAGGCAGGTAAATCCCTTGACCCATTCTCATTATAAGACATGGTATCACACAATATACAAAAAAATAGGTAAACAAATATAACAATAATAAACAATAGCCAATGAGCGAGCAGGCCAGTAGGTAAATCACCTGACCTATTCACATCATAATGTACGGTGTCATGCAAGCCATCCCAGCGGAGAGGTAAACAAATAATAATAAATATTAAAAATAGTAGGTAAGCGAATAAGAACAAACAGTAGTAAAAGCGAGCGAGCGAGGGCTGGCAGACCAGGTCACCTTGAGTCGGTCAGGTAGGTGCTCAGCTGGTGGAAGATGGTGGCGTTGCGGTAGAACAGGTGGTCGCAGCTGTCGGTGGAGCCGGGCAGAAGCCGCGGCTCGTAGCGGCCGCCCTGCAGCGCCCCCCTCGCCTGCAGCACTGCAAACACAAGTACACGCCGCGTCGACACATAACTTCACGAGGACGAGGTGGCGACGCCAGCATCGAGCCGAGCTTCAGACTCACACGATCTACGAAGTACGAACTACAATGTACGTTGACCACTAAGAATTCATAGCTTACGTAACATCAGCCGCAGCTTCGTGGACGAGCGCACAGCTTGAGGTAAACAAACTTGAGGTAACAAGGTGAAGCCCGAGGTTCGCGCGCTTGCTGTATGACACGTGTGCGACGCGCGTTCCGACCCGTGTACGCACCGAGCGTGAAGAGATCGGCGACTCCGATGCTGCCGAGACACCGTGCGGCCGCCTGCCTCTCCTCTTCGCCTCCCGCGGCACGACACACCGCTATCAGCTCACAGATCAGCCGCACCAGGATGCTCTGCTGCCCTGCGATAGAAACCACGTACGCACGGATTACTCACTCACACGACGCCGCGACATGCAGACGGTCAGGCAGACCAGCAGGTGATGTCAATGCTTAAATGAGTTCTAAATGAATAATTCGACTTCTTTTTTCTTGTTCTTTTTCTGAGTCTAAGTGGATAATTCTAAAGTTGACTTTATTCCTAATCTTAAATTGACTACGTCACGAATTTTCTATGGTAATATTTGTAAAAAAAAAATTTACATTAAAAGTAAGTACTAACGGGACTAAATGTATCGTTAAATTCTTACCGGATAAGATTGTTTCTCAACTAATTAAAAATCCAAAAAACCTGGACGATTTCATATTATTATCCTGACATTAATTGTATCAGTCACGAGTGTATGTTTACATCAAACAGTATAGTAAAATAGGAAGTATAATGCAGCAATTTAACCATAAAAAATGAACAAAATTACTTACATGTGAAAAAGTGGAAATATTTTTTTAGTTTTACTATTTACGGTGACGTAATCACTTTAAACTTCTGGTGATGATGATAAAGACTTCTAGTGTAATCCAAATCAGCGACTGACAAATGCGATGACGCAGCATCGTTAGGACAATCCAGTGGTAATAAAGTAATACACTGATGTAAAAATGTCTGCACACATGATACGAGAGGCACGAGTTGAAATCAGTAAACCTTTGCTTACCACATAGAGCAGTTGTGCCGTTGGTCCATTTGAATATAAATCGCATCTACGTTTTACACTAAGATTGAGCTCAGAGCCCAAAAAAAGGGTTTCAAATCTAACTGTTTTTTAAAACCCGAGCATTATACTGCACTGCACGCTTCTGTATCTACCGGGTGTATGTGTGTATATTGCGTATCTATTGTGCGTGCGTGTATATTGCGCATCTATCGTGCACGCATGTATAGTTACCATTGCGTTTGCACTCGCGCACCAGCACTTCTAACTCCAGTCTGCGTGATGACAGTTGTTCACCGATGTGCTGCAGGCCCTCACCACGGCTGTGAGGAGCACTCGCCTCGCTGGCCTTCAGAAATATCTCAATCTCCTAAAACGGCATGCGAAACAAACAAACAAAAAATCACGCACACACACATCAACCCCTCGACGGCATTCAGATCTCTCTCTAGCTCTCTCGCTCTCTCTCTCTCAGATCTCTCTCACTCTTGCTCACTCTCTCTATCTTTCTTATACTCTCTATCTCTCGCTCTCTTTCTCTTTCTCCCTCTCTCTCTCTCTCTACATTTATATATGTGTGTGCGTTTATGTGTATTCCTTCAGCATATGCATGTATCATATACACCATAGATTATCATTCGATGATTAAGATTCGATGTATGCAGGCAGGCGAGGGAAGAAACTCATATTGGAGTTTCATGAGAGGCTACATAATCTTACAGCAGCGACCTGTCTGGCCGACTGAACCCACGACCTACCTCCCGCAAACTTAACACGCCGTCCGCATACTTGTACTTCCTGTGCACAGCTCGTAGCCTGGCAAAGTCCGGCGTGTCAGGAAAGGGATGCAGGGACGCCATCACGTCGGCAAGTTTGCTGGCATTCTGAACGAAGAGCATTTCCAGCAGGGATCTTGCCTGTGCACAGAGAATGTGTGGACCTCAGCAAAAGCAACAAAACAAATACACAAACATGCACACGCCCACAAGAATGTCAGGTAACAGATATCCACTAATTACATAGTACACATTCGAATTTGAGTAAAACATACCTATATATACACAGATACCTACAATTACAACCCTCTGTGCCCTATCATCAGGATAGTCCATGTTTTTTTTTTAGATTCATTACACCGGCACATTGTACCGGATCTCCCACATCCAGTTACAGGCTGGCACCCCATGGACTACCTACAATTTACCTGATTACCCCCACCTCCCAAAGTATACCAGTTCCAATTCAAGTGTACAAAACAAGCAGAATTCGACACCGCGGCCTCCTCTCGGCATACCTTCTCCGACGCCGACCCCGAGGACAGCTTCACGACGGGCACGAGCGTGGCGGTTACCACGGCGACGTGCGTGACCACCTCGGGGCAGCACTTGAGCGCCTCGGCGAACACGTACTCGAGAATCTCGCAGTGGATCGCAAACATCTCCTGCTTCAGCGACGCCTCGACGCCGCGCCCGCCCCCGCTAGAACGTAACACGCGCGCCGATGAGAAGGATGAGCAAGATGTCACAAACTGTAAAATGTCATATTTCATAATAATATAATGATAATAACATAAAATAATAACAACGCAACAATATCATAATGATACTGATGATGATGATAATAACAATAACAACGTTTATATAGTGCCCACGACACATGATTCAACAAATGTCACCAACAAATGTCGATCGCTTAATTTTTACCAGTATAGTACTAATAGCACAAAAACACACTACAATTCTCGTAGCCAAAACGGACCCATGCACGTGAGAGCACGCTCTCGGGGGCAGAGAGCAGAGGGAGGGGAAAAGGGAGATGACACGTACAATGTCAACTAGAAAGGGCAGTTGTCGCCAACTACATGTATCCCCCGTGATCTAGTATGAATGAAATATCTCTGTAAGGACGTAGAAGGTAGGTAAAGTTAAATAATTCACAAAGACAAAGGTTTGTTACACAACTCATCTGCCTGAGATGTGCAACTATGTTAAAATTGGTTGCCTTAGGAGTTTTGGTACGCGACAGACACACCTTCTCCCCAAGATGTGTAAGTATACGAAGTTTGCTCGCGCTAGGTCAATTAGGGGCCGAGTTATAGAGCGGAAGCGAAATATGATGAAGGTCAAGGTCAAGGTCAATGTCAAATAAAGGTTGCAGTGACCTGGTTTCGGTATGCGACACACCTTCTCCCCAAGATGTGTAAGTATACCAAGTTTGGTCGCGCTAGGTCAATTAGGGGGCGAGTTATAGAGCGGAAAGGAAATATGATCAAGGTCAAGGTTAATGTCAAATAAAGGTTGCAATGACCTTGGTTTTAGTACGCGACACACCTTCTCCCCAAGATGTGTAAGTATACCAAGTTTGGTCGCGCTAGGTCAATTAGAGGCAGAGTTATAGAGCGAAGAAAAATATGATCAAAGTCAAGGTCAAGGTCAAATAAAAACCGCAGTGACCTTGTTTTGGTACGCGACACCACCTTTTCCCCAAGATGTGGTAAGTAACCAAGTTTGGTGCCGCTAAGGTCAATTAGGGGTAGAGTTATAGAGCGGAAGGAGAGTGTCTGCGGCGGCGCCGAGCGCGGCTGTACAGACATGAAACCATAGTATCCCCGCCGACTTCGTCGGCGGGGGATACAATAACTAATTTTGTGTTCAACTGCCAACGCATGGAGGGAGAAGAAGGGAGACGACACGTACAATGTCAATAACTAAATTTTTGTTCTACTGCCAATGCACGACGGACGAAGTAGATGGCGCGTACCTCTCTTCTGATGCACGACGTGAGAGCACGCTCGCGGGGGCGGGGGCAGGTGGCGGGGGTGGGTGGAGGTGAGAAGGGAGACGACGTGTACCTCTCCTCAGCCTGCAGGCGTAGGTCGCCGATGTGCCGGCATACAGTGTGCACGACGTCGCGCAGTGTGAAGGCCCACGCGCCGCCGAGGCCCGAGCTCAGGTACCGCACGAGCAGACGCACGAAGAGCCGGTACATGAGCAGCACGCGCCGCCGCTCCAGCAACGTGTACGCGCGCGCCATCGCCACCGACAGCGCCAGCAGCACCTTCTGTATGTTGTCCTGTGAGTGATGCCGAAATATTAGAGTTATGATATGATCATGTAACAGATAAGAAGGGTAGGATATTATAATTATGAGAGGTGAGATGTCACAGTCATGAAAGGAAGGATATGAGAGTTATGAGATGTGAGATGTCACAGTCATGAAAGGAAGGATATGAGAGTTATGAGATGTGAGATGTCACAGTCATGAAAGGAAGGATATAAGAGTTATGAGTGGTGAGATGTTACAGTCAAGGGAAAGATATTACAGTTACATGATTACTGTAACGATGTATAACAGAACGTGATTCAGTTCAGCGGTATTACAGAGTGAGCGACACATACCTGGCCCATACAAACTGACAATTTCCACCACCAGGTGACACCACCTGCTCATAGTAACCATGCTCTCGTGATTAAACACAGTTATATCGTTACACACAAACGCACGCACAAACGCACGCACGCACGCGCACACACGCACGCACGCACGCGCACACACGCATGCACGCACGCGCACACACGCGCACACACACACACCTGCTGTGTAGTGAGCAGCATGACGAGGCATGACTGAGTCTTGCCAGCCTTGCAGTAGGTGGTGAGGTAGTCGAGCGTCGTCTTGATCGTGTAGGCGTTGAACGCGGGAGGGTTGAGCGCGTGAGGCATCGACGATGCGGGCGAGCCGGGGTCCAGCAGCATGAGTAGGCAGACGACAACCTCGTCCAGCCGATCGGTCAGCAGCTGGTTCATCACCTACGCACGCACGCACGCCGCATTAATCACTATCCACTCCACTCCACTCTCTCCACTCCCCTCATCTCATCCGTACATAACCTCATAAAGATTAGTCTTCAAAGTTCAAGGGACTGTATAGAAGATGGAGAGAGACAAAGTTAATCGAATAGACAGATCAACACTGCGGGTCGCAGTAGAAAAGGCTTCAAATTTGTGCTGTCAAGTGTGAAACATGAACATACGCGTGAGGGCTCATCGCGTGAAACGTCTGGAAGGCGACGAAAAAGAGCGTTTAAATATATCATATATAAACATAAGATAAGAAGTGTGAAATGCGCACACACGCGTGACGGCTCACAGCGTGAAACTTCCGGTAAGCAGCGACCATAGTGTTTAAACATATCATGTTTAAATATATCATATATATACATAAGATAAGTGTGAAGAGAATGAAACATAAGTAAGTGTGAAACATGGGCTCACCGGTTTCGTCACAGCCTCCTCAAACTTATGGTAGGCGACGATGGCTCGCTTGACCTTTACCTCCGCATCGGGGTCGCCGTCGTCGAGCCCGCCGGCGCCACCTGCCGCGAACAGTGGCAGCACGTGTACGAACACGGCCGGGAAGCACTCGACCAGCAGCGTCAGCGCCGGGTCGACGGCGCCGCCGCCGCAGACGTGCAGCGCTAGCGTGCGCACGGCGTCGAACGAGTCGTGAATGACGAGGTGCGGTACTAGCTGCTGATAGTTTTGCCTGCATGGAGAGATGCAATCATAAAAACACCATCGCGACATCAGTCTGTTTTCATAAAATCTAGCGATTTTTACTTCGTTGACATTGAGCGATCGCTCATATCACCACTGCAGGATGTAGCAGACGGACAATTTTATTGTTTGACATTGACCGATCGCTCATATCACCACTGCAGGATGTAGCAGACGACATGATCCTGACAGGAATCGCCCGCGCATGCTGGATTTTAAATCACATTCTTCTACCCCGCGAAAGGTCTACCGCCGAACGCCCCACCAACGTTTGCGATTCTTCGTTCTCGCGCGATCGTACACCGTGACCGGCCACTCGCCTGTAGAACTCCTCTAGGGTGCCGCACTCGAACAGAGCGTAGGGCAGGCTGTCCAGCTTCTCTCCCTCGTCGAGCCACGCGCTGATGAGAAAGCCGAGGTGCGTCTGCATGTAGCACTTCAGACTCGGATATCCCAGCGCCGCCGCCACGTCACGCAGCACCTGCCGCAATCACGAGCATTCCATCATGATCACGCGCGCACACATCACGCATGCACGCACACACACCGAAGCAGCATTCGGGAATAGACAGAGCGTCAGACGACACCAGGGAATTTACAGGCAGGACCGCAGATTCTCAGGTTTATCGAATTGCGTTCGCCGATAATCGGCGACATAAAATGTTATGTGCGATTCTACAATTAGTGACTTTATAGTTCTCTAAGGTTTAATGAAAAACTGTTACAAATGCGGCGATGATGAAACAAATGATAATACGAAAAAGTCAAGTCACTCTATATAAATAATTCTTATGCACGATTCTTCTACACAAGAGAGTGTAATCGTTGCACGATTACTATAAAATTAGTCAAACGTTGCTTTTGCATTAATGTTATAAATGAGCTGGCTGAGCATAAGATGATCACGAGTGAAACAGGAGTAAATTGGGTGATGATTTTACTCATGAAAAATTTAAACCATGTAAACTATTACATACCTCGCGAACATCGTCCAAGTTAACGCCGTAATCAGTGACGACTTGGCACAACGCCAGCACAGCCTTCTTCTCGCAGTATGGCGACGACGTGGCTACGTTTGCCAGCGACGTGACTAACGCGTAAACCCTGGAAGCCAGCTGATCTCGCTTCTCCACTCCCTTATAGTCTCCCTGCAACGTCGATCGATCGTCGCACGATCAGGCACGTTTCACTCACCAGCTCACTAATGAGACTAGCAGCAGCACCGGCCGGCTTATAGTCGAGAATGCACTCGATGTTATCGTAAATCTTAGCTCAGTAGGGAAATAGGTCAGCACATCAAGGACGTTCAGTATATTATTACAAATGCATGACGTCAAGAGCTAATAATACATTATTATTATTATAATAATTATTACATTATTATTAGCTCACAATATAATATATATATATATATTTTGATCAAGTGAATATGTGCTAAATAAAGACCAACATTACAAGGATAACTGGGAGAATATTCGAACAATTCCGTCTGGAGCTAGGACTCGGAGAGTCTGGCAAATCAAATGAGACAAATGTCGGACGAACAATACCCAGCCTAAAGATCAATGTCCGAATTACAGACCAGGGTTCTGCCCAGGATTTTTTAGTGCCGGGCGCATCCAATCGTCGCAAGATGCAAGCGCCGTAGGCGCGAAGCCAATCTAGGAGGGTCCGGGGGCATGCCCCCCCCCAAAAAAATTTTAGATTTTGGATAGTCTGAAACTCAATTTCCTGCATTCTGAGCAACAAAAAGCCCATATATCAAACTTTTTTTTCTTCTTTTTTTATACAAAAAATTAGTGCCGGGCGGAGATATATAGTGCCGGGCGGCAACACCGTGGGCAGAACCCTGCAGACCTAGGTGTTCAGCTAGTTCACCCAGTGTCTGCTTACTTCAGCAAACACCATGAAGCACACGAGTCTCACAGCAAAGGGAAAGAATCGTACAGATTCGAATTCGAATGTCGAACAACACAACGGCGGAACATGGAACAGAACATTGAGCGAACAACCGATGACGGGTGTTCGCGTTAATTACCACGTCGTCCAGCGACTCTCTGAGGTGTTCACAGAGCTTTACAAACAGCTGCTCCTGTTCAGCAGCCGTCAGCCTGTAGTGTCCTGTGCGATCGTCCACGCCAAAGAACCTGCAACAACATCAACACACATACTATCACGCACGATATACGCTATTAGCTGCAACATGCACGAATACATGCGTGCGTGTGTAAGGTTTGAAATAAACTTTTATTGGTTGTTGATTACCTGTTACACCATTAAACCAACAAGGCAACTCGCTTCTTCTTCTCTCTCTCTCTCCTCTCCTCTCCTCTCCTCTCCTGTCTCTCTTCCTCTTTCTTATGTATATGGTGTTGATGTTATGTATGATGAAACACATTCGCAAACACACAGCGTCAACATTAGCTTGCCAACAATCGCCCAGAATTCGTGCCCAACCACGTAAATCCCGCCACAATGATCCGTACATTTTCACGGCGTCGGCAGTGAGCATCTTCACTTTGTGACTGTCGTTGCGCAGCAACTCCAGGCAGGTGGCCAGCAGCAAAGGGCACTCGTCTCCTGCCTCCCCGCCAGGCCCCGCGAGCCGCGCGCTTCCCAAATCCCCGACGGAGCCCGCGAGACTCAGCAGACACGCTGCGGCGGCCATCTTGCTCGCGGCGGGCAGCCCGGCGTCGTCCCGCCACTCGAATGCGGCGAGCGCGGCGCCCCCTACGCGCCGGCACTCGTCGAATGCGACGTCATTGTCGTCGCGGTACGCGTGACGCAGCAACGTCGTCAGCAGGTCGAGGAGCGTGATGACGACAACCTGGTCACGCGCGTGGTGTCGCAGCGCGGCGGAGACGCAGCGCAGCAGCGAGAGCAGATCCTCATCCGACAGTCTGTGATCGTCGCTGCCGAGACCCGTCCCCACGGCGACGAGCTGCACACGAAGACAGCGCTATTATTGGAGGGAGAGGAGCAGATCAATGGAGGGAGATTCGAGGTTCATTTTTAACGAAGAGACCTTTATTATTAGAGGGAGATTCAGGGTTTATGTTTAACGAAGAGACCTTTATTATTATGCCTGCATGCTTCCATGCATGCATTCTCCCTCCCCTTCCCTCCGTCTCTACCCCTCCCTTCCTCCTTCCCCCCTCTCTCTCACCATCTGTAGTCCTGCTCTTTGCTTCACATCACTCTCCATCACGAGGCGCAGTAGCTGGCAGCTGACAGCCCTGTCGCACGGCAGCAGCAGCGAGCTGGGACCGCCGCTACCGCCGTCACACGCGCAGTAACGCGCGAGCAGCCTCACACAGTCCAACTCAAGCATGACCTGCTCCGACAATCCTTCCTGCGACAGCGGACTGCACTGTACAGCTGCAAGGTGGCCACAGACAAATAGTTGACGCGCGGTGAATATTACACATACTTTCTTATATTACGTTAAATATTATGACAGCTACAAGCTAATTGGATATACACTGAAACCACGTCGACAGACTGGCCAAGACCCAAACCCAAAAAAATCGGATACTTTAAAACATACTTTTCTTATATTACGTTATATATTACAATAACTACTAGCTAAGTGGTTATACAGTGAAAACACATTGACAGAATGACAACCTGCCTCCAAAGATTGCATGGTTCTTTCCTTGTGTAGTTCTTATACAGTCAAACCACCTCTATAGAATGGTCACCTGCTCACAAAGCACATGTTTGGCATTTCCGTCGAGCGCCCCTTACATACAGGTTTTAATTGTAGCTAGTGTCTATAACGTTGTGACCGTTACATGGAGCATGACGAGAAGGAATACCTGACATGTCGGACGACTGTGACATGCTGTCGTCCTCATCAAAGAAGAAGCTGAGGTCTTGAGATGGTCCCGCCGCCGCCTGGTCGTTGAACTCCAGTTCCATCAGCTCGTCAAAGTCTGACCTCTTCCTGCCGGTCGCCGTGGCAACCGGCGCCCCTGCTGCCCTGCCCTGCTTCACGAGCTACGCAAACGGACAAAACGACAAATGGAAAGTCATTAACGTGCCCTGGGATACTGACGCTGAGCGAGGGATCCGTCAAATGATGTCACCATGCGGACACCCATGGCAGTGTGGCCCACCACACCTGCACCCGTGGCAGTGTGGCCCACCGCACCTGCACACATGGCAGTGTGGCCCACCACACCTGCACCCGTGGCAGTGTGGCCCACCACACCTGCACCCGTGGCAGTGTGGCCCACCGCAGCTGCACCCGTGGCAGTGTGGCCCACCACACCTGCACCCGTGGCAGTGTGGCCCACCACACCTGCACCCGTGGCAGTGTGGCCCACCGCACCTGCACCCATGGCAGTGTGGCCCACCACACCTGCACCCGTGGCAGTGTGGCCCACCGCACCTGCACACATGGCAGTGTGGCCCACCGCACCTGCACACATGGCAGTGTGGCCCACCGCACCCGTGGCTTTCCAGCAACTCGTTAATATTGTGCACCACCAGAGCACGAAACTACAGAGGTAGCGGGGACATCACCGTTACTTCTTTTTCTTGTACTTCGTCTTATAAATTTTTCCCCGGCGTTATTGATACTATACTATAGTATACTTACAGTAACACTAATTTTTGTAAAATTATTATAAAATGTTCATTAACTCACATACATGCTATATAACTAATATTATACTCATTTATAAAATGATTTTTTTCGTCGTCAGCCGAACAAAAATCAACAGGTACGACGGTGTGCTACAGTACAACAAAGTACTGCGGTAACGACGGCGACGCTAACATGGGCGGACGTCTGCTGACCTTTGTCGCTTGCTTCAGCAGCCACTGCAGCAGCTCAGCCGGCATCAGGCTGCGACACAGCTGTGCCACGGATCCCGCACAGTCGCCGGCGCTCTCCGAGCACGCGTACATCTGCCGTAGAATGGAGAGCAGCTGCAGCTGCTGCGACTGCTGCAGACTCGCAGCGCGGTCTGTCGACATCAGCACGCAGCCGGCTACCCGCATGAGTTCCTGTAAGACAGACAACAGCTTGTGCACGCTTTTTGCCAATAACATGCCGTAGCAAACTACCAGCCAGCCACGCAAACAATTGACATTGTTGTCAAGCTAGAGTAATACCTGTGGGTGGTACGACACCCCGTGGGCTGTGGGATTACATAGGGGACACTAAGAGGCAAGGGGTAGGTGTAAATAAGGTAGCGGGCATCGGGACGAGTTTACGGAGCAAAGGGAGCGGTAGCCCAAAAAAGTTTTGGAATCATTGAGATACATGTACATATTTCAGTTTTCCCATTACATGCACGAGGCAGATGACATTGCTATGAACTTTTCACGGTGAAATTGCCTCATTCTACGTCGCATAGGTCTGTCACGCTAGTAATGGAGGATTGGTGACACACTGAAAAATTTGATGCGATCCTCAAATTCCTCATACAAATCTGCACATTGGCTAGAGAATGAGCTAGCGAGCACCGTGGGTGCTGAATAAATACTACCTCACTTATTACTGCATCGAGAGGAGTAATCTAGTTAACGAGCTTCTGTAGGCTGATTGTCGACCACCAGCAATACTTACGAGCTTGAAACCTGTTCGCTCGGGATTTTACGTACATGAATGTATCTCGTCGTCAGATACAGAGCTGGTATACACACCTTTCCATAGTCGAGCAGCTCTAGCTGTGAGAGATCGCCGGCTTGCAGGGCTCCATTCATTAGCAGACCACGCACCACCATCACGTTGACACAGCAGAGACTGAGCATCGACTCAGCCTGCTGATAACCCTACAACGCAGTATGAGGAAAAACATCAAAAACACACAACTTATTCACACACGACTACACGTACGGTAACACATGTAACAGACGTGACACACCTGTAACAGATGAATAACACCTGTAACAGATGTTAACCAGATATGTACACATGTAACAGAATGTACACATGTAACTAGATGTAACACATGTAACAGAGTGTAACACATGTGACAGATGTAACAGATGTTAACATGATAACGTGTACACCTGTAACAGATGTAACACATGTGGACAGATGATAACACATGTAAACAGCATTGCCTAACAGCATGTGACAGATGCTAACACATGTAAAGATGTAAGCACATGTTAAACAGATGTAACACATGTACACATGTTGACAGATGTAAACACGCATGTAACGATGCTAAACATGTAACAGAATGTAACACATGTAACAGATGTAACACATGGTGACAGATGTAACACATGCTAACAGATGTAAACACATTGTAACAGCAGTTGAATGATTGTATGTCGTAATTACGTCTTATGTTATAGGATAATATGACGATAGCACTTGCACTTCATTTTCCTACATAGTGCCTTGCATGCATTTCCTGCCTATAGTTTTATACCCTGTGTTTACTTTTACTTTTCAATTTTTACTTCTGTCAACTTTAAATCACTTGATTATCACACTTGTGTCGCTAACAAGCACATACATATAGCATACACAGATATCACACAAGCACATAATTACAACTATAGCATACACAGATATCACACAAGCACATAACACAAATAGCATACACAAGCAGAATATACACAGACATAAATACATATAGCTTAACAGCAAGATATCACACAAGCACATTAATACATATAGCATCACACAGATACTCACACAAGCACATAATACATATAGCATCACAGATATCACACAAGCACCAATAATACAGCCTACACAGATATCAACACAAGCCACATAATACCATATTAGGCATACACAGATTATCACACAAGCACATAACACTATATTAGCATTTACACAGATATCACACAAGCACGATAACACAGTATTAGCCATACACAGATATCACACAGCATATAACACAATATAGCATACACAGATATCACACAAGCACCTGCGTGGCGGAGCTTCAATGAGTACATCGGCCTCTTTCCTCAGGCTGCCGCTCCAGCTTCTTTCTCACCTCCCCGACCGACGACGCTGAGGTCTGTCGAACCGCGCAGCGCCGGCGCGCCCCCCGTCGTCGGACCGGCGCGCCGCGAATCCGTGGAACGTCGTCCGCAGATACACCTCTGCAGCTCGTCTGAGGTCGCCGGCGGGTCGGCGCCGGGCGTCGCGCGTTGAGCGTCGCCGCTTGCGCAAGCCCCGACGCTCGCGCGAGGCACAGGGCGCGACGAGGCGTCGGCCAGCAGCTTCGCGCTGTCGCCGCGTCGTCCGCCGCGCCCGCCGGCTCGTCCGAGTCGCCGCGCAGGGCAGCAGCCACGCGACGAGCTGCGCCGCGCAGCGGTCCGGGCGCACCGCCCGCGAGCCGGGCGACGTCGCCGCGGCATTTGTCGCAGAGTAGGCCGGCTCGGGATGTGGTGGACGCGCTGATGAACCACGGTGCGAGCGCTGTCGATGTGAGTGCGCGCGTGACGCCGGTAGGACTGTCTGCGAGAACACCTGTATACACCACGCACGACGCATGAACTGCAGGCGGGATCGCGCTTGTCCTTCACTTTAATAGTCGAACTCGAATATTAAACAGTCGAACAATATTTAAAGATGATTCCCGCGCACAGTTTTTGTGCATAAACACTGTCAAAAACGTGAGCTAAATAAACTCCACTACACCTTTAAGCTGAACGTTTTGCTTTTGAAAATAAAACTGTAAAAATATGTATCAAGCCTATATTCGTTTCAAAGAAAAAATAAACTCAAAAAACGCGTTTCGCCGCCGGTTTCTGTATCAGTTGGCCGGCAAGGTGTCGCATACAGGTCACGTGACGTTAACCAGCCCAACCATAGAGATCATATAACACTGTGTCTATGAGCACATTGCTGGCCTTCATGACCTTCAGCCACTTGCAACACCGCCGCATAGCAACAAGGGACGCCGTCACAACATCGCCGCAGAGCCGCAAAAAATAAATTTCTGTTTGAAACATTCGACACGACACTTTGCACTTTGTATGTCTAAAATGCTTTTTGAATGAACGTATTCCTGAAGCAATTGTTTATTTACCTATCCACAATATATAGGGAAGCTACAAACGTGCATAATTGTTAAATAATTCATTATTGCTGATTTTATGTTTTTCCGCTTGATATGTTGAGGCAGGGGCACATCCTC